TGTGGGTTTCTGAGGCTGTAACTTATTTTGGAGTGGAAAGCCTCATCTTTCTTTGATGGAGCAGCTAGTGATTGCGAACTGCTGACCTTTCAGTTAGCAGCCCACCGTGTAACCACTACACCACCAGGGCACCCTCGTCAGCAGGAGGAAACATGCACAGACGGAGACTGATGGACGGAACGTCTGATTTCCCTCTCTTTTCACACTCCGGGCATTGGCTTGAGGAAAGTGCTCGCTCTCTTTCCTTCTGCCTCTTTCTCCAGCACGCTTTTGCCCTGTCTTCCCCCCTTTTCATCCTAATGCTTTGAAGTAGTCAAATGCACATTTGATACAAATCCACTAGACTCTACGAGGGGGTAATTATGATGTGTGTGTTGGGGTTGGGGGAGGGGTGCGGGACGTGTGATTGATGAGAATTTCAGTCACCGCATCCAGAAGAGAGTGTCTGGAAAAGGTGGTGCCAGAGTTGAGGAAGAGGAGCGTTTGGCATGGTGACTGGCACAGCGGGGCAGGGAGGGGATGAGGTTCACACAAAGCCACTGTCGCCATCAATCCCCTGCTTCTGTGCTTTGCACGGGCCTTTCTTTGATTCTGTGACCACTAGTGGATGTTACCCGACTAAGAGGTAGGCGATCAACAACTGAACTTCAGCTATAAAGATGCTTCTTCAACATGTTAAAACATGAGACTCATGTACGTCATGGAAAAGGGAAACTTGTAACTTGCCTGGGATCAAAGCCAAGGGTAAATGAGCTGCAGTGTAAACATAGGGTGGGTACTGGAAGAATGCAGAGTATCCCATTCCGAAGGAGCCTGCTTCCTTTTACGTGGAAAAGTAGATGTGAGAAACATTGTCCAGATGCCCTACGGGAAAGCCGGTGCATTGAGGGAAAGAAGAACAGTAGCCAGACAGCAGTTGATGAAGAAGGGGTGACTGGGCCCAACTGGAATTGTAGACCTCTAGTTTTCATTACCAGTCATGACACAGTACCGTTTGGCAAGGGTCCTTTTGAGGAGACTGTACAATTAAACATTTTCCATCTGAGAATCTTGTTGACAGTTCTTCCTTATAGATTTTGCTGTCACTGTTTTTTGGGGGGGAAGTTCCATTGCCTGCAGTCTTCCTTCTCCGATGACAGATACGGGAGTTTAGCATTGCATGGCCTCTGTCATTTGGAGAAGTTAGTTTAAAATAATGATTGGGGATGATTATAATGACCGAGGCAAATCGAGAATGAACTTCTGCAAGAGTTAGTAATCTGTTGTTGCTGTTGTAATTTTCAACCTAAGAGAATGAAGGAGTTGATATATTGACTGGCAAGTGTAAAAGCAAACCAGGGCTTTGAATAGATTCAGACCCAAATCATTGTTCTCCTGAGTTACTTTTGAAATCAAACTTGGTATTTGCCTAAGGAAAACAAATTCTCTGCTTGGCTTGCCGTCAGGTTTCCTCTTTGCATTCCCGAGACTGCAAAGAAAATGGAACCCTCCCTTTTGATAGGGGCCCAGGAGCTCTCAAATGAAGAACCCTCCAGCGCCTGAAATAAGGAGCGCACACGAGACCTTTGCGCCAATATTTCCATTTCTCATGTCCTCGCGACCCTAAAAAACCTCCAGGTGGAAAATCTAACTTGTCTTTCAGTCCCCCCCCTTTGTCAGCATGTTGCTTTAAATATTCTTAAAAGCAGATACTGTTTTTCCCACTGCATTATGAATGATGTTTTTTTTTTTCAGAGAATGCAGTGAGAGGGATTTGAAATGGAATTTTTAACCCAAAGGAGTAATAGTAGTTTTCAGTTCATTGAGATTTATTCACAAATGCATTTTAAAAGGTTGACAATCTTTACATTATCAGCAGAGACAACTCTATGAAATGTCAGGTACTTGTAATTTCCTTTCCTCTGATATCGATCAAGAACTCAGTGAAAAGACACCAAGCAAGACCTTGGAGAAAACAGCCTTCTTCACGGTGTATGTGGATTTTGCCCCTGTCTTGGGTCCCTTAGACAAGCTGAACTGGTTAGTCTCCTGATAGCGTTTTCCTGTGTTTCAGGAAAACAGTGCATGTGCCTGGTAGATCTGGATCGAGCAAGAGCTGCAGAAGAACATGGCTACTCCGTGCAAGTGATATCCATGGAGCCAGCGAGCTGCTCGCCCAAAAATAATATGATCGTGGGAGTCCCCAAGTAAAGGGGGATAATCCACGTTTGATGCCTTGTCACCCGTCTGTAGGATCAAAGTCCCGTGACATTCAGGAGGGTCCTGACATGACTTGGAAAGGGTATTGCCCAGCTTGAACTTAAAAGTACTCAGGAAAGAATACAACAGGAAAATCTTCGAAGAAAGGCTGCCTGAAAATCATCATAAATGCTCTTACAAAAAGTGTGGTTTAAAGGACTCCTGGTTTTCATAGTGGGAATCCTCAGAGTTCCAGCTGCCGACAGAATCACTGTCACAGTCCCAATAGTGGACGGACAATTCCCTCTGCTGCCCACAGGCTTGTCTGATCTGGCCAATGTGGTGTTCAATTCAAAACAATGACCATGTGGTACTTGGAGCCTTTATTATATAATTATTTAGATATTCACGTGGAGCCTGAAACTAGACTCAGTGGGGGTAATTTTTTTGTTTCTATTAAATGTACTTTTTCTATATTTTAAAAATAATCTAGTCGGGTAATTGCTAGATGGGTGAGGTGGACTTTCAGCTATTATCGAGTACATTTAAAAATATTTTCTTATAAATTACTAAAAAGAGAGAGAGCACTACTGGACCAAACATTTTTTATGAGGAGATTATAAATTAAGTTCAATGAATTTCTCATTGTGGGAACATATAATTTGGGCATAAGTTCTGACTAGTGAGTAAACACATGGATTCATGAATTCAGCTCAACTAATAGTTAAAGAGCCTGAGGGGGCGCAGTGGTTTAGCACTGGGCTTCTAATCAAAAGGTTCGGCTCCCCCCCACCAGCCACCCCATTGACGACAGATGTGGCCGACTGTGTCCGTGAGGACTGACGGCATAGGGTCAGGTCTCTAGGGTCAGTGTGCGTCCAAAGCAACCACCAGGCAGTGGGACTAATTACCGAGGGCCCATGGTTTTCCAGACCCTCGCCTAGATTCCGCTGGAAATACCCAGAAGACTTTCAAGAGACGCTGCCTTTCGCCTGGGAGGTAAATCATCCGACAGGGAAAGGCTAAAGAAGTAATGCATTCTTTATGCCCGAATGTACAATGAGTGGTCACAGAAGTTGTTTTTTATTTAGATTTTTTAGGGGGATAGAACTTACTGAGCATAAATTGATAAAAGAACACAAAGCGTAGAAAGTGTTTTGGGTAGTTCTCCATACCCAATTTCTTCTTTTCCTGCCAGCCAAAGTTTTAAAGGCAGATGGCATTGCCTTTGTCAGATGCTGCTAATTGAGGGTTTACATATCTGAGGTTCTTCCCACTGAGAGCAAACTTATACATTTTGATGTTTTCCACCCCACTGTAACACATACCATGAGGAGAAAGTCCTTTCAGTTGGTCATAAATAACTCATCATTGTGAGTTAAAATCTGAGAATAATTTATGGGGAATAAATAACTCATCGTTGTGGGTTAAAATATGGAGATAATCGTAGCCTTGTTTTCTGCGAAAAAATTTAAGGGAAGAATTACATTTAAAAAGCCGTCAGTCCTGAACACTGGTATTTTCATTGTTTGTGTCCGTAAACTCAGCACAGACTTTAAAAAAAAATATTTTATTGGGGGCTCGTACAACTCATCACAATCCATATATCCATCCATTGTGTCACACATTTGTACATATGTTGCCATCATTTTCAAAACTTTTTCTTGAGCCCTTGATATCAGCTCATTTTCCCCCTTCCCCACGAACCATACAGCACAGTCTTTTACCCCAGAGTTTCTTTTTAAAATCAAGTTATAATTGACATACATTAAAATAATAGATTTTAGCCACGAAAACTCCCTTATTACCCTTCTCCAGTCAAACCCCTCTCCACCTCAGAGGCAACCACACACTGATTTCTGTCACCCTACATGAGTTTTATCTATCTTTGTCCTTCATATAAATGGAGTGATGTAGTGAGTAGTCTTCTGGGTCTGCCTTGTTTTGCTTACCAGGGTGTATTTTGAGATATATCCATGTGGTTGTGGATATTAATTATTCGTTTCTTATTCCTCAGTAGTATTCTATTATATATACATTCTAATACAATATCAAAATGTATTCATTCTTTTGTTGTTTATTAGGAATGTTTCTAGTTTGAGGATATTATAAATAAGACCTTAATCTGAAATTCTTAAGAACATTCTTATGTAAGTCATTTTATAGGCATATGAAAAGGCTTCAAAAAGTTTGTGGAAAAATGAATTTTTCCACAAGCATTCTGAAGGCTCCCCCATATGCTTTCATTTCTCTTTTATAGACGCCTCCTTGTTGGACCATAGAGTTAATAAATGTCAATTGTCAACTAATTTTCCAAAGTGGTTATATCTCTTGTTGTTGTTGTTATTTATCATTGTTTATTTGAGATAATACTTGAAAATGTATTTCCCCCCATTTTATTGGGACCTCTACAGATATTAGAACAATGCATAGTTCAGTTACACAAATCATGATTGTACAATTTTTGCCACCGTTATTTTCAAAACAGTTTCTTCTTGCGCTCTTTGGGGTTATATCCTTTTATACTTCCACCAGCAATGAATGAAAGTTCACTTCTCCATATCCTCAACATTTGATATTGTCAGTCTTTTAAAAAACATTTTCTGAACTATTCTAATGGATATAAAATTATTAACGTATTTTCATATTACATATTTTAATTTTGAAAAATTTCAATTTAGCATATTTTTCTTTTATACATAATACTTTCTGTGACCTCTCTAATAAACCTGTGCCTACCCTAAGGTTATGAAGATTTCTCTTGTTTTATTTATTTAAAATCATTTTATTGGCATATACTTCAAATACACATTTGTTTTGATCCCTGTTACTTTGTGGCAGATCTTGATTAGTGTAAGTATTCCAATTTCATTTTCTAAATTTTTCTGCTATCTTAAATCCATTGTATTTCCACATAACTTTTAGAATTGCTTTGTCTTTTTTTTAAACCCTGGGTGGTGTGTGAGTCAGAAGTAGCTTTCGTTAGTATATAAATAAGCCTGCTTATCAACTGGCAGGACATGAACATCTTAACAACATTGAATCTTAGAATCCATGAACATACTATATCGTTCCACTTACTTTGCTGTTATTAGCTACCATTGCATCTGCCTCAAATTACGGTGACCTCAAGCCAAACGGAACGAAACACTGCTGGACTCTGTGACTTCCCTATGATTGTACCAACTCAGACCATTGTGATCCATGCTTTCCAGAGGTAGATTGCCAGCCCTTTCTTCCTGTTCAGTCTTAGTCTGAGAGCTCTATCCCACCCTGTTCGGCATTATAGCGCAACACATTAGCTCCCACTGAACGTGTGTGTGTGTGTGTGTGTGTGTAGCCTGATTCATTGTTGCTATGTTTGAGCTCATTGCTGCAACCATCAACCCATCTCATTGAAGGTCTTCTTCCCCATTACCCACTGGCCCTCTGCATACCAAAATGATATTCGTCTCCAGGGTCTAGTCCCTTCTGATAGCGTGTTCAAAATTTATGCTTCTAGGGGGATTCTGGCTGTACTTCCAAAAAGGATTTGTTTGTTCCTCTGGGCATCTAATTGTCACTGCGGATATCATAATTTAAAAGCATCACTTCTTTGGTTTTCTTAATTCACTGTCCAGCATTCACATCATGCTTGATTGAAAGTTGAAGATTGAAAATGCCATAATATGGTTCAGACACACCATAGTCTTCAAAGTGATTCTCTTAGCCTGTTAGCCATTTAAAAAGGCCCTCTGCCCAGTGCAATACATTGTGTGATTTCCTGACTTGTGCTTCCTTGAGAACTTCATTTGCTGATGGGCCACAACTGTCAATGCGGAGAAACAGCTGCAAACATCGATTAATAATTGGAACATGGATTGTAGGAAATTCGAAGTAAAAAATTAAGTGGAATTCTTAAAGATCAATATAGTAGGCATTGGTGAGCTGAAATGGACTTCCATTTGCCATTTTTAATCAGAAAATCATATGATTTACTATGCCAGAAACAACCAATTAAAGAGGAATGGTGTCACATTTATCTTCAAAAACACACACTGCAAGACCGTGAAGTACTGTGATAGGATAACATCTATCCCCCTACAAGTAAATCTAGTTATTTATAACTATTACTCAAATTTATACACCCACCACTAAACCCAGAGATTAGAAATTGAAGAATTCTACCAACTTGTTCAGCCTGAAATTGATCAAACATAGACAATCAAGATGTAGTAATAAATATTGGCATTCGGAATGCAAAAGCTGAAAACAAAGAGGAACAGTAGCTGAAAAATATTGCCTCGGTGATAGAACAAAGCCGGAGAGCACATGATACAGTTTTGCAAAACCAATGTCTTCATTACAAACCTTTCTTTTCAACAACTTAATGACATCTATACAGGTGAACGTCACCAGATGGAATACACAGGAATCAAATTTACAGCATCAGTGGCAAGAGCTGATGGAGAAGCTCAAATATCAGCAACTGAAACCAGGCCAGAGACTGGACTATCCATCACATGAAAGTTCAGGTTGCAGCCAAAGAAAATTAAAACAAGTCTACAACGTTGAGTATATCCTACCTGTATTTCAAGAACATTTCAAGAATAGATTTGCCTCATTGAACACTAATGACAGGCAACCTGGCAAGCTGTTGGATGACCTCCACAACATCAAACATGCAGAAAGCAAAAGGTCTTTAAAAAGAGGAAAGAAAGAAAAGATCAAAGTGGATGTCAGAAGAGACTGAAATTTGCTCTTAATATTGTTTTACTAAGATCATTTTATTGGGGGCTCTTACTGCTCTTACAACAATCCATACATCAATTGTGTCAAGTATACTTTTACAGACTATGTTTTCATCATTATTTTCTAATCATTTACTTTCAATTTGAGCACTAGGTATCAGCTCCTTTTCCCCTCCCTTCACCTCTCCCACCCTCATGACCCCTTGATAAATTATGAATTACTATTATTTTCATATCTTACACTGACTGCTGTCTCCCTTCCCCCAGAGTTTCTCCCCCCTACCCTACCCTCCTTCCCCTTCCCCTCCTAGTATCACTACTCCCATTTCTGTTCCTGAGGGGTTTATCTCACCTGGACTCTGTGTGTCCTGAGCTCTTATCCATACCTGGGTACATGCTCTGGCCTAGCCCACAGTGAAAGGCAGGACTTGGGTCATGATAGTGGGGGGTGAGGAAGCCTCAAGGAACCAGAGAACTATTGTGTGGTTTATTTGTGCAATATTGCACCCTGGTTGACTCATCTCTTCCTTGTGACCCTTCTGTGAGGGGATGTCCCATTGTCTACAAATGGGCTGGGGTCTCTGCTCTGACCCCCTCATTCTCAACAATGTGTTTGTTTGGGATCTTCTGATGCTTATAACCTGATGTTCTTAATCTTAGGGTAGATAAAGCACATGGAAGAAATGATGACATCAAAGAGCTGAACAGAACATTTAAAAGTGCAGTTCAAAAAACTAAAGTATTAAAAAAAACAAAAAACTAAAGTATTATAATGAAATATGCAAAGACCTGAAGTTAGCCAAAAGAGGAAGAATGTGTTCGACTATGTCACACGGGAAGAACTAAAGAAATATTCAAGTCTTGAGTTGAAATATGAAAGATTTGCCTTGGGCTGCTCCCAGCTGCTTCCTGGGAGATAAAAAACCCCACAAAATCAACCTTCAACCATTTCAAGAACCAATGATAATGAGGAAATAAGTGCAAGCTTCACTGAAGGAATTAGCCAAAAGCAAGGCTTCCTGAAATGATAGCGGATACAAAATGAAATGTTTCAACAAGCTGATGAAGCATGGGAAACATTCAACTATGCCAAAAAATTTGGAAGACAGTTACTCTGCCAACAAACTTTAAGAGATCCGTATCTGTGCTCATTCCAATGAAAGGTGACCTATCAGAATGCAGAAATCATCGAACAATATAATTCATATTGTGTGAAAGCAAAATGTTGGAACAATTCTAGCAGCACCTTGACAGGAGCTGCCAGAGGTTCAGGCCAGATTCGGAAGAGGACATGAAAAGAAGGAAACCATTGCTGATATCAGATCGCTCTTAACTGAGAGCAGAGACTACCAGAAAGATGTTGACTTGTGCTTAATTGACTTTGCCAAGGCATTTGACTGTGAATCATAACAAAGTATGAATATCATTCAGAAGAATGGGAACTCCAGAATATGCCCTTATTTTTATTGTTCATGACACCAGTGCATGGACCAAGAGGCAGTCATTTAAACAAAACAGGGAATACTGCATGAATTAAAATCAGGAAAGGTATGCATCAGGGTTGTATCCTTTCACCATACTAATTCAATCGATATACTGAGCAAATAGTTATCCAAGCTGGACCATATCAAGAACCTGACATCAGGATTTAGAGGACGTCTCATTAATAATCTGTGACATGAGAATGACACAACCCTGCTTGCTTGGATCCAATCCTCAATCAATGCTAATGGAAGCAGCAGTTAAGGAATCCAAGGATGTATGGCATTGCACAAGTGCTGCACATAACCACTGTAAAGTGTTAGATGCCTTTCCCAGGTGATGGTATTGTCTATCATTTCATGTGCATGGGAAAGCTGGACAATAAGACCAAAGAAGAAATTATGCATTTGAAT